TACAGGCTCGGTGCCTGTGGCTCAAGCGGCTAAGGTGTCAGCCGCATACACCTGAGCTGGCAGGTTCCGAATCCAGCCCTGGCCTGCCGAACAGCAATGATGGCTGCAACCAAAAAATAGCCGGGCGTTGTGGTGGGCGCCTGTAATCCCAGCTACTTGGGAGGTGGAGGCAGGAGACTTTGCTTGAGCCCAGGAGTCGGAGGTTGCTGTGAGCTGTGACGCCATGGCACTCTACCCAGGGCAACAGCTTGAGGCTTTGTCTCAAAAAAAAAAAAAAAATTTGGATTACATTTTTGTGTGTGTCTAAAAATGAGGAGCCAGAACATTTTTGTGATGAAAGTTAGGTGTAGGGACATAGTTTCCTACTTTTGCATCATATAGTCTACTAAATGGTATATGTATTAAAACTTACCGCCTTACAGATTTGTGATGAATCATATTTATTGGTGTTAAATCCTCAATTTTTTTTTATAATTTTACACATATGTATATATTTTCTTTTTTTTTTTTTTGAGATAGAGTCTCACTTTATTGTCCTGGGTAGAGTGCTATGGCGTCATAGCTCACAGCAACCTCAAACTCTTGGGTTCAAGTGATCCTCTTGCCTCAGCCTCCCAGGTATCTGGGACTACAGGCACCCACTATAATTCCAGCTACTTTTTTTTTAGAGATGGGGGCCTTACTCTTGCTTAGGCTGGTCTTGAACTCTTGAGCTAAAGCAGTCCCCCGACCTTGGCCTTCCAGAGTGCTCAATTTTTAATATGATTTCTGTAATTGCTGTTACTCTTGGGTTTGTGTTTTAGATTTTTCTTTTTATGAAATTAACCTGTAGAAAACTGTGAAACGGCTCGGGTGTGGTAATCTTAGCACTCTGAGAGCTAAGGCAGAAAGATTGCCTGAGTTGAGGAGTTTGAGACCAGCCCAAGCAAGAATGAGACCCTCTCTCTGCTAAAAATAGAAAAACTAGCTGGGCATTGTGGTGGGCACCTATTGTCCCAGCTACTCGGGACACTGAGGCAAGAGAATTGCTCAAGCCCAAGAGTTTGAGGTTGCTGTGAGTTATGACACTATCGTGCTCTATCCAGGGCGACAGAGTGAGACTCTGTCTCACACACACACCCAAAAAAGAAAACCTGTTATTAAAACCTGTTATATGGAAGTAACTTCTTTTGCATATTTTGAATTTTTAGGTGATTATGGTGATAGAAAATGGAATACTCCTTACTGAGCCATGTCTTCTTTTTTTTTTTTTTTTTTGAGACAGAGTCTCACTATGTCACCCTCAGTAGAGTACCGTGAGGTCACAACTGACATTAACCTCAAACTCTTGGGCTTAACCAATTCTTTTGCCTCAGTCTCCCAAGAGCTGGGATTACAGGCACCCGCCACAACGCCCGGCTAATTAAGCCATGTCTTAAGTCATTCTAAGTAGTTTTCAGTTTTTGTTCGCATGAACTTTGCCTCTGTATTGTGTTCTTTAGGGATGATTACTTTGCAAAAAAAAATGAAGAAAGAAAACAAAATAAAGCAGAAGCTAAGTTAAGAGCTAAACAGTAAGTATGCTGAACTAATCGTGAGATAATTTAAACTCTTGAATCCTCTGACAAGAGTTCTGGAAGAATTGATGGTGTCCTCTGAAGTGAGTAGCAATACACCTTTTTTGCTAGTGAAACATTGAGAGGTTAAACTGCCTTGATAATTTGGGGGCCCCATTGTGTCTAGCATTGGACAATCTGAAAACCTAAGGACTGGCTTTGGTTATTCAATTTAGTAATCATGAGCAAGGTTAACTTGATTGGAATTTAATTTTCTAATATACCAAATGGAAACATGTTGTAATTATAACACTTTTATTTGTAGAGAGCCAGAAGATAAACAAAAGTTAGAGGATGCTGCTGAATTGGTAAGTATTTGTGGTAGATCATACAGCTGTAATTCAAAGTTAAAGAATTACTTAAAAGTCTGTGGAATGGCTCGGCGCCTATAGCTCAACCGGCTAAGGCGCCAGCCACGTACACCTAAGGTGGCGGGTTCGAATCCCCAGCC